CATATTGCCTCAAAGTCCAAAACACAATCTGCTAAGAGAGTCTTCTGGCACTCACGATCACTTCCTGGAAACCAAAGCTTGATTTCAGACGTGCCAAGCGTGAGCTGTCAAAGGAACATGCAAGCAGAGGGCTGTGTGGAGCAGGCGTGGGAACAAGGGTCTAGGGCTGCAGAAGGAGGCTGAGCGTGAGCTGCAGAGACTGCCTCCACTGGGCTCTGAAGCGACGGCGAAGCTCTCCGCACCGTCGGGTCCCCGAGGGATAGGAAGCAGATGGGAGAGCGGGAATTGGGGTCAGAGCCTCACAGAACACTTACAACCAGTGGGCGAGAGGAACAAAAGCAGTCAGGGAGGAACCAGTTGTCAGAACAGCCAGAAGAGGACTAAGCCAAGGGAAGGAGATTTTTCAAGAAGGGGGTAATGAAGTATCCAATGTTGTGGCAATGAAAGGAAGGTGAGGGTGACAATGTCAGCAGAGTTCATGACTGGGACCTTCTGAGAAGCAGTGCAGGCACGGCTATGGGGAAGGACAGGGGAATGAGTAATTGGAGACACAAACATTGGTTTCCTCTGCCCTCCAACTCCTCACCCCCTCACACATCTTGCCTCCCACCTGAGCCTTGGCTCAGGAAAACCTGAAAGAGACAGCCCATGCCTACCAACCACCTTCTCAACAACATCAGAGGAGGGCCCCTGGGGCACTACATCAGACACAGGGAGCAGAGGTACTGCCTGAATAAAAGACTCGAAAGTCCGAAATATGTGAACGCCACACATCTGCCTTCTCAGGACCTTTGCAAAGTGGCTGTTCTCCAAACTGCAGAGCTTGATGACCCTGTGTCCCCAGGTGTCTGGAGAGGTTCCGTTTCCAGGTCCCCACCCTGCAGACCAGGCCACCTGGCCCACTGGCTAGGATTTCCCCTTGCTGCTGCAGATGAGTCAAACTGCCTGGATCGATTCAGTAGGAAAGAGCAAATCATGATAGGAACATGCAGAGAGCCAGCAGAGCTGTGTGCATGCGTGTGTGTGTGTGTGTGTGTGTGTGTGTGTGTGTGTGTGTGTGAAGCACATGACTATAATTACTGTAAAGAGTGACTCACCCAAACTCCAGGAATTCCATACCCCCAGGTCACTCATAAGTAAGTCAGCCTCCTCCTGGGACCACCCTGACCAGAGAAAAGGCTTCACCATCATCCTAGCTGCTCAGGCCCCAAACCTAGAAATCCTCTTCATTCCTTTCTTTTCCTCCTCTCCAACATCCCACCACACAAATCTGCCAGGTCTGCCTTCAGAATGCCTCCCTTATCAGTCTCTTCCTCTCCTGTGTACTGCCACCTCCCCATCCCAACCAACACCACCTCACTGGATGCTGTCTGACCTTCTGACCAGGCCCCATTTCCCATCTTGGCCCCCTGCACTCCCTGCCCAGTTTGTTTTCCACACAGTAGCAACAGTAATTTAAAAAACAAAAAATGAAAAGCAGCTGTAAGCCAGATCATGTCCGGCTCTGTGCACTTGAAACAGAACCTAACTCCTGTCCTGGGCTGTGAGCCCTTCACAATGGGCCCGCTGCCCATCCATGGCATCTTGCATCAATCTCCTCCTGGCCCACAGTGCCCCTGCCACACTGGCTCTGAGTTTCTTGATAGCACCAAGTTTCTTCCCACTGTGGGTCTTTGCACTGCCTGTACCCTCATCCCGGCACAGCCGGCTCCCCATGTCACTCGGGCCTCAACTCAGCGCAGTCTTCCTTCTCAGAAAGGCCTTCCAGGATGCCCCACGCTCCAGCAGACCCCAGTCCTCCTGTCTCACACCCTCCTGTCTTGGTCTCCTGTGTCACTCCCATTCCCATAGGACAGTTCTTCGCTCACTGCTTCACACACTCAACAAACGTTTATCCATCACTTCTTACACCAGCAAGACGAGACACGTGTTTATCCTCCCTCAATAATGTGTCTGTCTCCTCTGAACAACACAAAAGCCCATAAAGACGGGGCCCTTGACCGTAGCCTCAAGGTCTGGCACGGAGGGAGCATTCAGTAAATATTTGATTTGTAGAATGAATAAGAGCCGCACGGTAGGGCGTACTCAGGAAACCAGAATTGACCGATTCTGTCTTGCGCACGTCGCATGGCCTTGAGGCAGCCAGTACTCCTAAGAGGCCCCAGTGCAGGGATGAATCAGACCCCGCCTGTGTTTTTCCAGGCCAGCAGAAGGTGACTCCCTCCCTGTTTGCACACAAGCCAGCATTTACTAGGGCCTACTGTGTGGGACCTGTGCTCAGTGTCAGTCTCCAACCCATCCCAAGTCACTCAGTTGCTGGCACCCTGCAGGCAGCCATGGACAGGTCAACGGGCTGCCCTGCCCTACAGCTAATGACCAACTGTCCCTCGCTGGAGGTCATCCATCGTGAAACCAAGTAGCAGGTCTCTGACACACCCATAACTCCCTTCTGTCCAGGTTTCCCAGATATCCAGGGTTTCAGTGCCACCCCAGGGAGAGCACTTGGGGAGCTAGTCACAGCCTATCCCTGAGGGTCCGAGTGCCAGCCTCACTTCCCAATGTGTGTGCCTCTTTCTGCTTTGCCCTATGCCCAGCCTGACTCCAACATCAGGCGGCATCACCAACAAGCCATCCAGTACCGTGGCCGAGAACACAGACTGCGCACGCCAGGAGAACAAGGCTGCGTCACGCCAGCTCCGGCACTCGCCAGCCCTGGGATCTTCGTCAGGCCACCACACCTCTTGGAGCCTCAGTTTCCTTCTCTAAAAAATGAAGACTCTAGGGGCACCTGGGTGGTACGGTCAGTTAAAGTGTCCAACTCTTGGTTTCGGCTCATGTCGATCTCAGGGTCACGAGACAGAGCCCCACGTCAGGCTCTGCATTCAGCACAGAGTCGGCTTGGGTTTCCCTCTCACTCTCCCTCTACCCTCCCCACCTCCTCCTCTCTCTTTAAAATAAATAATTTTTTTAAATGAGGACTATAAAAGCACTGACCCTCTGGGCTGCTACAGCAGTGTCTCCTATGCTCCTGCTCCTCCCAGCTCTGTGGGCCCATGAGGTCTCCCCAATACCAGGTCAAGGGAAAAGTGGGGGGAGGGGAACAGCTCTTTTTTGGCAATACCTCTATGGCTAACCTCATTGCCAGAAATGATAGCAAATGAAGGAAAAGATTCAGCACAACAGACATATACAACAATGCAAACAACAAGCACATACTCAGCTGGGCACCAGGGATACAAAGAAAAATCAGACCTCATCATGAAAGAAGGCAGTCGAAGGGAGAGGCAGACCTGTCGACAAAACCACAGAGCAGATGTGCTGTGTGCTTGTAACAAGAGGTGTGGAGAGAGTATGAGGAAGAGATGCAGCCGCCGATTCCACTGGGCTGGGGTGATCTGGATGAAGGTGAAAAAGGATGAATCGGGCCCCCTCCATTTCCCAAATGCTCTGTGCCAACCACTGTCCTAGGGCCAACAGGACAGGTGAATGAGAGGTGGCTTGCAAGACCCCCTTTCTGCCCTCACCAACTATACAGCTTCTGCAGGTCATGGAGAGTCACCACATTGCTGACAGTGAGGTTTGTGCACACCGAGATTCATAATTCATCTCTCTGAGTCCGCACATAGCTCCCAGTAGCCCAGGAAAAAATAACAGCATCTAAATAATGGAAAATTCCTTTGAAAAAGACTCTCTAGGCAACTTTTGAAAAAAGATGGACTCAGGGACTCACAGGCCTGGCAACAACAGGAGAGACCAGTGACTTCCAAACTTGCTTTCAACCTCCCAAGCCACTGCTGACCTGAAATCCACCCAGGAGCCCAGTACATCAAACCGATGTAAACAGAGCTGCTCTGGTGGAAACAGTGCCAAGGTGTCTACTTGGCACCTTCCTCCTCTTCCCCATCCCCTGGTGGCCATCAAGGCAGCTCCACGGAACCCTTGGGGCTCCATGAAGCACTGACACAAAACCACTCATCTGGGCCAACCTCTGAGTAGATAGAGGGAAACAAGTCCCACAGAAGTCATGCTCTGAACAGCGGCTGAACACAAACCCAGTTTCTGACTCTAGGCTAAGACGTCTCGCTCCACTTTGCTAGGGCTAAGGTCTACGGAAAATAGCAATTTAAAAAAACAAGGCTCATTTCTGATCACCTACAACATAATCCCTAAGTGTTTTAAAGGTCCCTGAATTAGCCAAGTATGAAACTCAGCCCAGCCCCGCAGACTGGCAGAAAGAAGTTTGGAAATGAGTTGCAGAAGCACAGCTGACAATTCCATATAGTTTCCTTCAGTTCCATGGGACATAAACAGGTCTTGAAAGGTTCGGGCTGTGTGGCCGTGGGAGACCCTGGACCAGGCGGGCCAGGAGGTGAATGCTAATGAGCTATGGAAATAGCAATTACTTCCCCCATGTCAGGCACTGTGCCAAGCTAAGGAGGATAAAGAGGTCTGAGATATTTTTAAAGTATTTTTACAGCAGAAAAACTTTCCTACAGCCTCAATTATATAACTATCAGACTCCACCTCTGAGCTGAAATTATCCATGGCCTTCAGGAATAAAAACAAAACAAAACCCCACTTCTCTCTACATGAGGACCACAGGTTTCTCCAGAGAGACTCGTAGCTATAGGGCCAGCAACCCAGGGCAGCTGCGAACCATCAGCCCAGAGACCTTCCCAAGGGCAGTTCGGAGCCTGTCAGAGAAGAATGCCAGCCAAGTGGAGGGCAGAAGTCATGTCACTGACCCAGCCACCACATGTGACGTTATGGGTCCAGGAAGGTCCACTTGAGGGGGCTCTGGCCCCAGCCATGTTGCCATCCTCACAACTTCCTCGTCCCAAAATGAGGCTCAGGTCCCTGAAGGAGACAGGATCCCAGGAAACCCACATTAAACCTCTGTGACTGGCAAAGGGCAGATAGTCAGAGAAAGCCTTCGGGGGCTCGAGGAATGAAGAATTTCACCAGTGAAATGAGAGCCAAAATCAAAGGAATTAACTTACAGCCCAAGTTTTTGTCAGCCTGAAGATGGGTGCACTTTGTAATGCTGATACCACAGACATGAGAGAATGAAGGTTGTTGAGTTCTAGAAGTTTCTGAAAAAAAAAAAAAGATATGGAATAGATTATTTTGCTGCTATAAACAACAGAACAAAAACATGTTCAAGTGTTACCAAATGTTGTCATATTTATGAAATTCAATTATACTTAAAAATATCCCATGTAGAAAATATAGTTCTATGGAGTTCATAGAAACCATATGCTCTTTTTCTTTCAAATTGTCAAAAGGTGAGTCTGCATCTAAAACACCTGCAAAATTTTATAAGCTGACTAATCTGGTTGCTGGATAGAAACGTGGCTCGGGATAAGGTCTGATAATGTCCTTTATGTTCTTTTTTTAGACCAATCAGAACTGTCCCAGCGGGCTTTTGTAAACTGAAGCCTTGGCTGTGCCCACAACATCCACGTGGGTCTTCTGCAACTACCTTACACCCAGAACGAGAGGGGCTGAGGGAAGATGTCACCAATCTGTGTGATCCCCTCCGCCAGGAAGAGAGAGCTCTGGCTTCTCGGTCAGTTGACCATATGCTCCTTGGAACCAGACCCCACACTGGTGAGAACATTTGGATTCAATTTAGTCTCACACAAGTTCCCTACCATGGAAGACAAGAGTAGGGACACAGCCTAGAGTAAGTACAGAAAGACGTAACTGCTCTGTTCTAGGTTTGGTGCTGAGGGAAACCTGCTAACGGGGACTGGGGTCCACTTCTCATTCTTGGGAGCCAGTGAGGTCTGGGCTAGCGAGCGGGCTCCATGGTTCCAATCCCAGCTCCCAATACCCGTGTGTCCTGTAGCGAGTTGCCTGAGCCTGCATGCTCATACCTACAACAAGGAAGGTAACCACGGCACATATGCTACATGGGATGGTGCGTGCAAGGTGCCAGACCAGTGCCTAGCACCAGGGTGAGTGCTCTGTGCCTTGTGGGCTGCTCATCCCTTACTAGGAAGACTTCTCTCCTGCCTGCCCCCTCACTTGTCTTGGGTATACCAAGCTCAGATGCCCCTTCCTCTAGTATGTCTTTCCTGACCCTGTTCCCAAATCTAGGGAGTTTGGGGACCTTGTCTATGTGTTCCCACAGCAGTGTGTGCATCTCCTTAGCTCACTGGACTTTAGTCGCTTTTACCCGCTTCTCTCTCGCCCTGGACCATGTGTTCCCTGACAGCAGGGGTGAAGCTGTATCTGCCATCACATCCCTAGGGCCTCATACAACACACAGTAGGGCCTAGTGAAATGAATGAATAAATAAAAAGGCCTTATGCCTAGTCCTCGCAGCTCTGTTCCTACTCAGAGATTTCTCCTTTACCACACAAGTTAATACTTCCTTTCATACATCTTGTAACAATCTCTAATTGTTTCCTGTGTGTAATAATAGATTCTCAGAGGGGACTGAATTTCATCCTATGTATCTGAATTGCTATGCCTGTCACACAATTTCTTTTAGAGCTGAAGGTCCTCTGGGTGATCCCCTAATCCACCCCTCTCATTTTGTAGACGGGAAACCAAGGCCCAGAGGAAGGAGGGGCCCGCACAAGAACACACTTGGTGCACCGTGCCAATACGATGAGCCACTGTTGGAAGATGGCAGAGATTAGGGAGGGATCGTTTTGGATTCCTTGGACAAGCACCGCAAACTCGTTTCCTGAAAGCACCGGAGGGCTAGAAGTCCATCCCGCTTTCTCTCGTGGTCCAGCACGAACTCACTGACAGTAACAAGCATCGTCAAGCCCAGCCCCAGCATGGTCCCAAGCACTTCAGAATGCACATGACGTGCACGTGTCTGTTGCCCCTGACATACTTATGGATGGATGCCCTTAACCTTCCCATGAGGGGCAGCGGAGCAGCTCCCCTGAAGGCCAAGAGACATGCTCCAGCTCACTCGCTGTAAGGTCCTGGGCAGGGACACTCACTTCTCTAAACCTCCCCTTCCTCCCCTAGAAGTGGGAGAATAACAATGTGAACTCCAAACATGATCATTTCAGTAGAGTGGCTGCTATGATGCCAGCTCATAAGGGCATCAGTAAAGCTTAGTGGGCCTAGGATCTGGGTGGGAACACAACACGTGCACATAGCACACAGCGAACCAGACAGTACAGCAGCGCGCTGCCCAGATGCAGGCAAGCCCTGTGGTCGCAGCAGCGTAAGGAGAGGAGCTGACAGGGTGATAAGAGTGGTCCGGAAGAGCCCATGGCATCACTACCTGGGCTGCCTGACGTAAGGGAAGAGGAGGGGGAATACAGACCCAAGCCTGGTGCTCAACAACTGGCAAGGACAGAACCTACTGGGGGGGCAGGAGGTGGGAGTGGGGGCCAGCAGGGTCACTGGGCCTAAGCCTGAAGCTCAGGATGGAGGTGGGGTGAGCTCTGCTGACTGCGGACAAAACTGCAGGATGGGATGATAGCTCGTAGCCCATCAAGCCCCAGTACTGGCTGAATCTGAAGCAAGAGGATGAATGGACCCTAGAGGGAGCCCCCATGGCCTCATAAAGAGTCTGAACAGCCAGCTAAAGAGAATGGTTGGCTGCCATAATAATGGGTAGATGGTCATACCACCATGCGTGCACGGGGGTGGGGAGCCTGAGTGGGCACCTAGGCCAGTCTTACAGCCTACAGAAGTCAGGTCAGAGCCTTCTGTTTGAACCCAGCCCAGCATGCCCAGAGCAAAGTAGCTCTCAAAGTACTGAGGAAACACATTCTGCAAAAAGGAAGGAAGGGAGGGAGGGAGGGAAGAAAAGGGGGAGGGAGGGAGGAAAAAATAATAATAAAGAGCTTACCTTGGCTATTTTCACAAAATGGCTCAGGATTTCTGCCCTTATTTTTAAAGTCTGTGCTGTTAGAATTTCTCGAACAACCCAAAAACTGACCTGTAGAGTCAAACACACACACACACGCACACGCACACCAGAGAAGTGGTTAAATACTGGACCACCCGTGTTGCCCTCACCCACCATAGCTAGGGATTTCCCAGAGGTCAGGAAGCTGGAAGAGCACAGCCTGGGGTTGCAGGTGGTTGAAGGTTCCTTTACGACACCCAGCCCTGCAAACGGGTCCCTCCTTCGGCACCTCCTCTGGAACACAAACAGCGGTGCCAAGAGAGACAAGTATCCCTATCCAGGGGAGTTACTGGGTCTCCACAACATATGAATCTCTCTGAAGCTGTGGCAGGAAATTTTGAGATGAACAGATTCCTGCTCAGAAGGCCCCCCAGTTGTGGGAAAACCATGGATGGATGGATAGACAAATGGCCAGACAAACGGATATGTTCACTGGCAGTACCACCATGAGATCTATACCCCGAGCCAGACCTCAAGTAAGTAGCATTCACCAATATTTGCACAATTGTAACAAAATTTAATTTTCTAGGAGAGGTTCACCCAATAAATTATATGATATGAAATATCTTTCAAAGTTCCATAAAGCAATGCAGGTGAAGGGACATGTTTTTCTAGAGACCACTTATGCCAAAAGGACATGTTGGTACTTTGGGTTCAGAACATTATTCATGCTTAAAAACAAAACATTATTCGTGCTTGACCTGTCACAGAAATCAACATTCCGGAGCCCCTGAATCCTTTTGGGAACAAGCAAGTTATCTACCAGGGTACAGTTGACTCACATGACACCTCAGTACAACACAGAAGGGGCTCCGTGCCTAGAAAGTCTGGGAAGTGGTTTCTTTCTTGTTTATGTCTTGCTACTGTAACAACAGTGCTGTGTGACACACAGATGCCCAAGGGTAGAATGACAGCACAGCCGAGGGAGGGAGAGAGAGAGAGAGAAAGAGAGAGAGAGAGAGAGAGACAGCTGAGGAGAGTACAGGGATGTGTGGAGTTGAAAGGTAGGCAAAGGCATCTAAAATACAAAGAAAAATAGGGATATTCCAGAGTTAACAAAGCACCTTTACTGCTGCAACCAAAATTTTTCCCTTTCCTGAAGTAGTCACTTTTCAACGAGAAAACAAGAGTAACCGAGAATCAAAAATTTGCTTTTTATGTTAAGCAGGAATATTATAGAAAAAGTTTTTTCCGCGTAATTATCTGCGGTTGCCTCCAGGACATGCCTGGGTTTCCATAGAATCATTTTTTCCAAGGCATTGCCTAAAATTAAGTTCAGACTCAATCGTTTACTAGCCAGTTACGGAAGAAAGATTTTCTGGACACCAAATGATACGCCCATAAACCTTATATTTTAATACATGCACATTTTTATGCCATATAATCTCAAGTGTGATAGTTTATATGTATAATTTAATAGATTCCTGCATGCCAAAAAATCACACATATTTAAGGCATAATTATGGAACATGGCAGAGTTGATAATGATCTGCTGCAGCACACAGTGTGCAGAGGCAACTCTGGGTCAGTTCAATTCAACAGACTTTCATGCAGCCTGTTGTGTGTGCAGGCTCTGGGCACTGTGAGTCCAGACCCTATCAGCCCTTGCCTGATACGGAGGTGACCAAAGGAGGTGGCAGGATCCTCTAGAAATCACATGGCAATCCTGGACGTGGAAGAAGTTCAACCGAAGCAGACTGGAACATGGGGGAGGTAATGACAGAGGAAGGCCCACTGGAAGAGGTAAACCTTGAAAAATGGGTAGACTTCCAGCAGGTAAAGATAGGATTGGGGTATGGCAGATATACACTACGACTGGGGAGGGCTGAGCGAACCGACTGGTCTGGTGTTGCAGGTGCCCTGTGGAATCAGGGTAGAGGGGGAATCAAAGCTGGGAAGGGCACTGAAGGCCCGATGGGGGGGGTCTGGAACACCAAGGTGACAAGAAGGTCCTTAGGTGCTATTCTACATGGGGAGACTTCCAGGGGTTTCCGAGCAGAGAAGTGACAGAGCCTTCTGTAGGGGCGGGGACACCCATCAGGAAGCTGATGCAATGGTCCAAGTGACAGGCAGGAGGCCTGAGCCAGGACCATGCTGAAGGAGATGGAGAGAAGGGGCAGATAAGAAAGACATTACACAGGTAGAATCAGCAAAGTTTCAAACATTTTTTATTCTCTTTTCTAACTACAAAATTTAAGAGAAGCTTAATGCAGAAAACAAGGGGCACAGAGATAGGCACCAAAGGCAGAAATCATTTGCACCCTCATTCTCGTATACAGACCACCTTGACAGACATTGTGGTTTCTGTCCTTCTACTCTCTTTTCCATACACAGAACATATATCTTTTTCAACTAAATTGGTATATATTCATCATATTATCACAAGAATTTTTTAAGTGACTAAATAGTCCCCTACAACATAACGTTTAGCAGCTGCCAAATATTCCATCTTAGGGATGTACCATCATTGAGCGACCTCCTATCGCTGGATAGCTTATTTCTAATTATTTTGTTGTACTAAACAATGCTGTGGTGAGCGCCTTTATACATACATATTTATTCACTTTTAATTAAGGTCTTAGGATAAATTCCAGTAAGGTGGAATGAATAAAAGCATGTGTACCGTTTCTTCAAAAGTATATATTAAAAAGTTGGCCTCCAAAAGGTCTATTTGTTTATCCATCAACAAGTTTGAATTGATCCATGTCTTCACGCACTGGCAAGTATCAGTTATTACAATTCTTTTTTTAACTAACCTAATGGACAAAATAATGTCTCATTGTTTCTATTTTGCATTTCTTTCTAAACTATTCAATTAACATCTTTTTTGTACTTTTTTTTCAGTTTTTTGTTACAAATATTTACGGGCCATTTGTACTATCTGCCTTGTGAATTACCTCCCCAGACCCTTACCCATCTTTCTAATGGGACATCTGTCCCCTTCCTATTGGTAAGTAAAAGTTCTTTGTGTAGTAAAGAAAATACATTAACCCTTTGTGGGCCATATACTGTACCAAGAATGTAGAGAAATTGGTACTCTTATACGCTACTTGTGGGGGGGTGTAAATTCATAGGACCATTTGGAAGAGCAACTTAAATATACCTTTCAAGATGTTAAACTTACATTCTCCCTAGAATTTTTATCTTATGAAAACACAGAAATTTGGAGGAACTCATCTACAGGGATTCACCAAAGTACTGTTTTTAAGGAAAAAGAATAGGGGAAAAAATGCCCATCAATAGGAAACTGGTTACATATATAATGGTATCACCTCAGACTTTGGAAGGAAGTGAGCTGTTGGAATTATTACATAGGAAGTTTGTCTATTCTTCCCCATTTATTTTTGCAATCATTTATTTATATCAGAAAGGACTCATGGATATTTATTTTACACTTTGGGTTACAACCCAACATGATGTTATTTATTTTGTTGCTTAAATTGCTCTTTGGCCACTGAAAGCTCTTTCAGTTGGCTCTTGTGTTCCTTTGACCTACCCCTAGCATTGTTTTGGTTGGCTGGTTGGTTGAAGCACTTCCTTATTTTCTGGTACCACTACAGGCTCATCAAGACGCTACTGCCCCAGTATTAAAGCAGCCATTTCTCCAAGGAGCCTTGGTTCCTTTGATTAGAGAATGGTATTAGAAACCAAGATCTGGGTGCCAGGTGTGCTTATCACTACTGGGCGATCACTGTTTCTATGTCGTCTTGGCTGGTAGCAAGGTAACGTATGCGTGTATGTGTGTGTGTGTGTGTGTGTGTGTACTAACCCATGTGCATATACATATCTATAAATATTTCTATATGTAACCATCTGTATGTATCTGTATCAAAATAAGTATGAGTTCATATCGATGTCTTAGCCTTCTACCCTTGCTCGTCTGTAACTTTCCTCTCCAACAGTGAAAAACCTGGGTCCTATCATCTGCCATCCTTTTCCTTAATTGTTCAATTCCAGTATTCATGTATAATGGCTTCAGAATTGTTACCCAATCCCCCAGGGAAGCAACTATATCAACTAGAGTACAGAGCATATATACAGTTCCTTTTGTCTTTAGTCTTACGGGTTCCATTCATTTCCAAAGTTACTTAGGTCAGCACCTTTTCCCCTCACCTACCTCAGGGATGTTGTTTCACACATTTATAATTCGTTTGGATTTTTTGGTTATGTTCTGCATTCCACTCTAGGATTCCTTTATTTCCACAATACATTTTTTAAATTTGCATATACTAAAGTTTGCTCTTGGTGCTGTCAAGTTCTATGGGTTTTCACAAATGCATAGTGTCATGTATCCAATGACACTGTGTATCATACAGCATCATACAGAATAGTTTTACCACCCTAAGAAATCCTCTGTGCTTCACCTACTTAACACTCTCCCCTTCTCAAACCTCTGGCAACCACTGATGGATCTGTTTATCATCTCTATAGTTTCACCTTTTTCAAAAATGTTTTTACATTCCCCAGAATGTTTTTAAAAAGCCAGGGGTGGGAGAAGGATGGGGGAAGGTGGAGGTAATCATATATATGTCACTTTTTCAGACTGGTTTCTTTCACTTAGCAATAAGCATTTAAGATTCATCCATGTCTTTATATGGTTTGAGGGCTTATTCTTTTTTTTTTTTTATTGATGAATACTCTTCCATTGTATGGATTTACCAGTTTGTCTATCCATTCACCTGTTGAAGGACATCTTAGTTACTTTCAGTATTTGACATTGCTGAATAAAGCTGCTATAAACGTGAGCATGTGCACGTGTGTGTTTATGTATAGACACAAGATTTCAAAGAAGCTGGATAAGTATCTAGGAGTGCAACTGCTGGACTGTACCATTTTGCATTCCCACCAGCAATGAATGAGAGTTTATGTTGTTCCAGATAGTTGCAACTGGTACCATCATTGTTTGTTTTATTTTAGCCATTCTAACAGGTGCATAGTGTTTTGCATTTCCCCAGTGACAAATGACGTTGAGCATCTTTTCATCTTTATTGCTATTTGTACTTCCTTGGTGAGGTGTCTAGGTATTTTGCCCATTTTTTAATTGAGCTGTTTTCTTACTGCTGAGTTTTAAGAGTCTATTTTGGATACAATTCTTATATCAGATATGTGTTTTGCAAATATTTCCCCAGGCTGTGCTTCATCTTTTAATTTTCTTACCAGCATCTTTTTGCGGAGTAGAAATTTCTAATTTTAATGAAGTCCAACTTACCAGTTTTTTCTTTCACAGATTGTGCTTTTGGTGTTACATCTAATAACTCATCACCAAAGATCATGTAGATTTTCTTCCACGTTTTCTCCTAAAAGTTTTATAGTTTTGTCTTCTACATTTAGGTTTATGATCCACTCTGAGTCAATTTTTAAGAAAGACCTATTGTCTGTGTCTAGGTCCATTTTTTTACATACATAAAAAAATGTTCCAATTGTTCCAGTACCATTTTGTCAAAGAAATTACTCTTCTTCCATTGGGAGAGGTTCATATATGTGTATATATAGTTAAATTCTCAAAAGAACACATGATCCAAAAAAGGCTGAGCACTTCTGTGTTCTACGGTGAACTCCTTGGTGCTGAGATATAAGCCTGGCCCATAACACACACTCAGTGAACTTGGCTGGCTCCTTCTATCCCTCTATGGCAATATGAACAAATCCCAAGGGACTCAGATCCCACAGAGGAGCAGGCAAGCCCACCAAGTCTGACCAGGACACTGGCCACTGGGTTTCTGGTTTGGCCACAAGAAGCTTCAAATCTGCTAGCAACCTCTTTCCAATCAGCTGATCTTCATGTTCCCTCTTATTTTCCCCCAAAACGTTGGATGTTTACTACATGCCAGACACTGTGCTGAGAGTTCTTCATATACCATTTCACTGAATCTCCACACCAACTCTGCAAGATGAGTCATATTATTATTCCCGTTTACAGATAAGGAAACTGAGGTTCAGAAAGGTAACTGACCTGCTTTCCTTATCCAGAGTCTGATGGGGAACCTTGTTCTCACATAAAAAAGTCTGCCAGGAAGGGATGCCAATCAGTTCATCTCAGAGAAAGCAGCCCCAGTGGCTGACCAGGGCTGGCTGGTGGCCAGTTTTTCAAAATAGAGCTACGAGGGCTGTGTCCAGAAGCTGCTCACTCTGAGTAGCTGACAGGCTGGCAGTAAGACCATTTCTCAAAGCGCTCTGTTTGGGAAAACGCGACTTCAATTCTGGCTCACTTCATCCATTTGGTCTGATCTGGACACAATGCAATCATTCGCAGAACAAGCCGCACCACCCTTTGCCAAGCTGACCTGGCCTCCGCGCGCAAGGCAGATTACATCAGAGAGCCCAGCAGCCCTCCTCCAGGAGCTCTGTGGCTGGTCAGAGGTGGGACTGAGCTGGCTCCCAGTCAAATAGTTTTGCGAAGGAAACTATGAATCCTCTGATAGCGTGTGCACATCTGTCTTGTTTTTTAAAGCCTAAGCTTGGTTGAAAAGGGAGATTTTTGAAAAGAAAGAAAAAAGAAACAAAAGGCTTCAGAACTTCTCTTTTCAAAACAAACAAGTATATACAGCCCCTACTCCGGATGCATCTAGACCTTTCTTAGTTCCATTATAACAACAATAATGCTAACTCCAGTCTTGATCCTCAGACGAAAAGCTAGTGCCTCTCTGAGGCTCTCCTCATCCTTGGGTGCTAGCCGAGGCTGGGGAAGCCTGGGGAGGGCTGGGCAGTGGTGATGCATAGGGCCCAGCATTTCTGAGCAGGGAGGACCAGCTTCAGGGATGGCCCAAAGGGAACCCAGGCCCATCACCCCGAGGTCCAGTCATGCACACTACACAATCCCTAATCCACTATCCTCATTTGAAACCAGAAAAACAAGAATAAAGAAGATAAGCTGTCAATAGCACCATTTGGGGGTTTGGCCCACCCAAAGGGGGTCTTACAGGGTAGCTTACTAGCAAAGATCACATTCTGGCAGACGGGCTAAGAAGCCAGAAGCCCACTGCCCTTAGTTGGCCCAAGCCCCCATCATCCTTCCCTTAGGTGGGAGTGCAAATCTTCAAACCTGGAGCAAAGGTTCTGGTTGGAACAAGTCAGTGTGCAGTAGTATGTATGGGGCTAGTGGCCTGGCCATCAGGCACTCAAAGAAATTCAATTCAACAAGTGTTTTCTGAGCATCTCATTCATTCATTAATTCCACATACATTTACTGAGGGTCTATTATACACCTGACATTATGCAAGGTGGCAGGAGGTGCAGTGGTGAACAAGACAGAGCCCACAGACTGGCATGGAAGGTGAAGGCAAAAGAGTTCTAGAGAGTGAGCACAGATGAGCAAAGGGCCACATGGAGACAGAAGCACGGGGTGCAGTGAGGGAACGTATGACAGCGAAGACCTCACACAGGCTGGGGATTCACGGAAAGCTCCCCACAGAAGTGACATTCAGGCTGATCAGACTGGGAGCTGCACAGGGAGGAAGAATTCTGAGCTGAGGGTACAGCACATCTGGGGGCCTGACGGGACAGAGATATCAGGGAAGAGAAGGAAGGCTGACCAGGATGGCTAAAGCCCGTGGAATAGGGGAAGGGACAAGAGATGGGGCGAGAGGAGTGGAGAGAAACCAGACCCACTGTGCAGGACCTTGCAGGGCAATTAAGGGGCTCCAGGCTTAGCTTGGGTGAAACTGGAAGCCAATGAAGTGATTTAAACTCGGGAAAGATGTGTTCAGTTCCACCTGCTGTGAAAAAGGACTGTGCAGGCCAAAGGACTGATGGGCGGGGTGGTTCAGGAAGAGAGGTTTGGACCTGGGCCAGGTGCCTGGGATTGAACCCTGGCAGGGTACCCAGCCGACAGGGGACAAGACTGCTACCTGCTCAGGCACACCGCTTACCTGGTTAAACCTCCGGGTAAAGGCCACAATGTTGGGGGCGAGACTATGTTTCTCCTTCTTACTCCATCCACAGCTGGCAAGTTCCTAGGAAGCACAGAGTCAGTTTCAACAGTGATTCTTCCTAATCGGGATGCAAAACACACCAGGGGCATCTAATTGGAATGCGGACACGGACAGGGAAAAGGGCTGAAGCCCTGGCCATCCTTTTCGTCACCAGGGTGGGTGAGGGTTCTCCTCTGGAGAGAAGGGCTGGATCTGTAGAGGGAGGTGTGGCCCCGGGCTGCCTCACCCCTGAGGTGAGGATGGGAAGTGGGATACTTTTCTCCATAACCCCAGCCACATTTCTCAGGACTTCTGTTCCAAAATATCCTTAACAGCAAACTGCCTGTCTGCCAGCTCCCCTGGGACCAGAATTCCCTTCTGAAAGCAAACTGAGAGAGGGCATGTGTTAGCTAGCTGGATTTATCCCCCCAGGTGAACTTAAAGTTAAAATATGGCTAAAGGATCTCAGAGTTCATTGGCCATTCCTCTATTCCTGGAATCAGAGAACATCCTGGCCCGAGCCCACTGCAGTCAGAGAAGCTTCTGGAACTACCTCACATGGCTTCCCGAAGTTGGCCCCGTCTCTATCTCGTACAACCAACAGGGGAGCAGAAGGAGAGGTTGTCTTTAACATCTTTTCTAGCAGGTTTAATGTTACAATCTGAATCATCAAATTACCTAAATTTTACCTATCAGTGAGGCTGGTTCCTACCCAAGGGAGCTAATAGGAGCACTCTACCAGGATGACTTGGGGTGCATAAGAGAACCAGGGAAAACCCATTACCCAATGCCCAGCATGCTCAGCTTGTGGCTTGGGAGCCCTGGCAAAGAATGGACGAGGCAGATTAAAGTTCTCTACCTCTGAGTTACAAGCCCTTATTTTAATTCATATCAGGCCTTGCTATTATTAACAACGTTTTTTTGCCACACATCTGGAACTTTAATAAGATCGTTAGTGAGAATCAGCTGCCCACCAGCTGGAACGGGGGTCCACTAGGAAGTCAGGGAGGGCAGTGGGAGTGGCCAGAGACAAAACCTGTTGGCTGAGCAGCTGTGCCCAAAGTGCTATACCCTTCGAATGCTTCTCGGGACCCAGCTATAAGCCACAGACAGGCGGGCGCTGTGTGAAGCCTGGCTGGAGGCAATGGACAGCTCAGGATACAAGAGCCGATGGCCTGGACCTGAGAGTGCCCGGCCCCCAAGCCAGGGCTATGCACACGGCTCCTCCTCCGGCTGCCTCCCTTCTGCAAATGCACCATTCTCCTCCTGGTCACCCACACGGGAAACACGACCATCCCTGACCCTTCAGTGCAGACCCCAAGTAATAGTCATGACAAGGCTGCTAACTAGTGCTGCCATTCAGCAAGAGCCTCCGCACGCCTCCTGTTATCTCGCTCCACTCTCACCGCCTCCGTTTAGCAAAGAGGAAGGGCTCAGGATTCGTCCTCTTGAAGGGATACCTTGACCCTATTTCTTTTCAAAAGTATGTGTGAACCTCTTTGAGACGTAGGATTTACCCGTTCACCGTGATTCTTCCCATTCTGAAAATGTGTATTCGACCTGCCTCAGTTACACTGACTTCTCCCCTTTAGAACATACGCTTCAATTGTTTTTGCAAATGTGTATCACTGCCCTTTCCAAGTTTAATTGCGAGAACAAGAGCCTCCTTCCTCTGTGGATCCCAAAACCAGTCCTGGAAAGGTATGGGTTATAATCAGATAGAAAAGAGAATTCATAAACCTGGCAATCAAGGACTGGGGCATGGTTGTTGCCCAGTTTCTGGCTGATAGTTGCTCCTTCTGGTTTTTTCCCGAATTCTTTAATAAACAGCAAACTTATATACGTGTACGTGTGTGTGTGTGCACGCATTTTAATTACATGTACACATTTAATTAAGAGTCTATAATCTTATTTATAATTAGACAGACTCAGCCCCATCCTGGCCTCCACACATCAGCTGCATGATCTTCTGGGACACCATCTTCTCAGAATCTCAATTTTCACATCTTTTTTTTTTTTTTTTTAAGATTTTATTTATTTATTTATTTATTTGACAGAGACAGAGACAGCGAGAGCAGGAACCCAAGCAGGGGGAGTGGGAGAGGGAGAAGCGGGTTTCCCGCAGAGCAGAGAGCCCGATGCGGGGCTCGATCCTGGGACCCTGGGATCGTGACCTGAGCCAAAGGCAGACACTCAACGACTGAGCCACCCAGGCGCCCCTCAATTTTCACATCTTAAAATGGGTATGACACCGTATTTATCTATGAAGCTCAACATGATGATTAAATGATATTAAGACATGCAGAGCACATAGCACAGAACAAGTACTCAGTAAAGTTTATCTCCCTTCCCCTCCCAAGGGTCCCATTGCTGTCAGACTCAGCGAGAGCTCCAAACACCCTCTTCTTTCCCCCACACCACGCTCTCGTTGGGATCTTAAATTATTAACAAAATCTATTACTGTTTCTCTCTCACTTTGCTGATGTCATGCACGCAGGAACCAAAGCAAGAACTCAATACATCTGCCCTACATTTATTTGATTAGAACATTTCTAAGACCCTGATTCATAAATTGTTTGTACACTTCTTAGGTGTTGACAATTCCCTAAAGAACCTTTTGTATTGAGAGACATATAACATTAAAAATTAAAGCCTCAACAGAGTAAAACATTATGTTTGAGGGGTTCTTTGATGAAATGGATGGAGCAAAGGCCTTGAGAGCCAGAAGACCCTGCTCTGAATCCCAGCCCAGCCATGTAATTCCCAGGTGACCCCAGGCAAGTTAACCTCTGCTGGAGCTGGTTTTGTCGCTGATGAAACAGGGACACCGAAATCAATTCCACAGACTGGTGGCAGAACTGAAAGAGGTAGAGCATGGCAGAGGAGGTGACATGCAGGGCCCAGGTTTGGCTCACAGCAGATGGCAAGCAGCATGTGTCGAATGAATGGAGTATGAGTGTTCCTCAGTGTTGAAATCTCCCAAATTCAGGGCAGAAAGATTTATCAGGATGTCAAAAGAAATAAGACCATTCTATCTGCACTAAAACAAGTCCTGGGCCCAACCTCCTTGGCCCTCTTCCTCTTCTGTGTTTGGCCTTATAGGATTACAAGAGATTCCATCTGTGTGTAGTGGGTTTGGAAAATGTGAAGTAATAGAACAAAACTCTTCCAGTCACTAATGCCTAAAAAAGGTCTATGCTATGGAACCGATCTGAGTATAATTAAGTTAAAATTGACCAGAGGAGACAGGGCTGGTTCTAGGAGGAGACAAGGGGCTGGGCTGAGACTGGTGGCCCTGCATCCCTGGTGAGCCACTCAGCAGCCCCTGGGCTGCCACATGCCTCCTCCCAAGGGCGTCGGGGCCCTGATCTCGCCCAGTCTGGCCTTGGCTCTGAGTTCTCTGCTGAGGTCAACTGGATGTGAAAGAAGAATACGAGCCTACAGTCCTTTGCCAGCTTCCTCCGGGGCCTCTCCTCTGTCATGTGGATGCTCCCTGGCTTCCTCAGGGACAAAACAGAAGCTGTGAGAAGAAAACTTTCTGCCACCAAATGTGCAAATTCAACCGTGTCCTCTCCCTTCCTCAGCTTCAATGGAAGAGAGACCCTTTCCTCTGGGGGGGTCTGCTCTCCTCCTGGGCACTGGGTCCCATCCCCTCCCCTGCCCAGAAGCCTTGCCCTCAAGCCCTCCCTCCTCCCTGCACCTTCACCCCCTTCCACTCCACGAAGAATAGTAACAGGACGATAACAACAACAAGAACAGTTATGATGAAGGACATCTCCTGCAGGCCTCCAGCTCCTCCTTTTTCTTCTCCTGCCCGATGAATTTCCTCGAAGGGCTGTCAGTACCGCTTCGCTCTCCACCTCCTTCCCTGCCCCTACTCCACTGACACTGCTCTGTCCTCTCCGGGTGACAGCCTCCTGGCCGGGGCAGCCGCCCCCCGCTTCCCGCTCACTGTCCTTGCCCTTCAGCACCGTGGTCTCTTGTTGTCTTCTCGCATCTCATGACCACCATTCCTGGTCCTTTTTTCTGGTTGCCTTTTTCTGTTCTGGCACTTTCCCCCACTTCCACTTAAATCTGTGCACAGTCTTCTTCTGTACAGCTCCATGTCCATAGTCCTCCCCGGAAACCCACATCCACTTGCCTGGGTTTCTCTCCTGAGCCCCAGACCAGGATATTCAGCCACCTCCTGGCCACACCCTCGTCGGTACCCCACAGGATCCTCAACGTCAGTGGGCCCAGAACCCGAAGGAGCCTGACCAGCTGCCTCAAATAAAAAAATGTAATGGCATGAGAGTCATTTAGACACTCGTCCTGACAGTTGAAGGAGAATGTTTATTACAAAGAAACTGGGAAAAAATTTCTAACCGATACAAAAACAACTTTTTCTTAATGCAAGCATTCCTAGGTGACAGCAAGGGTCAACACTGCCTTCAGCTCCCCTTGCGAGCTTCTTAGGGCCACGCTGCCAAGAACGCCCCCACCAGCTCCCAGCATAGGGGTTTGGGAGTCAGACCGTGTCTGGGGTCAGTGAGGTAAGGCCCTGAAAGAGGAGACCTGGGGAGCAGGACAAGTCCTCCCTGAAGGCCCCACAGGATCTAGGCCACAGGAAGTTGGTGCCAACACACGGCCCTTCCACACATGTGCTTGATTCTGACTGCAATCTTTTCCAAATCACGTTCCTAAAACGTGTCCTCATGGAACATGCATCACTTCAAGGAAAGGTCACTAAATCTGACTTCACAGAGTACCACCAGGCTGCCGCCGGCCAAGGGCCCCACATTACTATTTTGCTCCCTCCTCCACCCTCCATGTTTCTCTCCATTCCTCCCATTCTAATATCCGGAACAATCTTCAGAAGAATTGGTGGGACAATCACACTTAGTCAAAGGAGCTCTAAAAACATCCCAGTGGGGGACGACCCACCGAGGCAGTCAGGGGGTACGGTGCCAGTTTCGGGGTAGGGGGTGGGGTCTGACCAAGGAGTAAGGCATTTTAGGGCCTAGACTCTGGTGACACGGTTAAGAACAGGCAAATAATAGAGT